GCACTCAGGAGACAATTAGACTGCTTAGTTTGATTAAAAAAAATGGCATCCGAAAAGACTCCGGTCCTCTGAATGCATCAAAAAAGACAAAGATCTCCACTTTCATATAGCGAGTGATGAGCGTACAGAGTTGGCTATGTGGTATTTATTCGGATAAATATCTCTGCCCTTTGAAGGCAGAAATGGCAATGTTAGTTGCTAGGAATCACTTAGGAAGATGATGCATTTAACAACTGATAAGGTTTATCCTCCTTTTATATGTGTGCTAGAGTGACTTTTATTTTTTTAAATAGGTGCAAACTGGATTTTGTGAATATTAACGGAGTTCTCCAGGTCTTACAAACAGTGAAGTATGTTGTAGAAGGCTGTGATCCAGCTAGCAGAGACGAGAGTAGTAGTGGTGTGATCTATCTGTGCCTGGTGATCTGCAGATTTGAATCTCCTGGAAAAATGTAGGCATATGGACTCAAACTGGTATACTCTGTGCAACCATGTTTCTTAATGGAACAGGCTGGAAATTGGATTTTCTCCTTAATGGGTTAATCATGTTTTTGATAAAATGTGACAGTTTCTAGCAGAAGGAAATTCTGAAAACAAATTTTGGGCTAATGGAAAGATTTTGCTAAACTTGGAAGGTTCGGTTGATTTTTAATGCTGGAAACTTTGGAAATTTCTGGATGAAAAATCTTTCAGGGGAAAAATAAAAGTGCTTTGAGAGGGAAAAGGGGTTCATGAGGTTGTGCCATTTTTCATGTTAGCAAATTGAATCAGCCATAAAATTCCACTTTGGGGGATGAACTATGGATGTTTGCATATGGGACACAGGCCAGAGCAAACTCTAAGCTATGTCACCATTTTACCGTTTTACACAGGAAAGCATCTGTATTTTTTGTGAGATTGGAATGGGGTCCCAACTGTATTTCTTTGACTTGCTCCTGTCAAGAGGAATAGAGCTTTTAATTAAAATGACAATGTTAGACTAGTCAGACTTCTATTATCATATTGAAGGAGTGCTTTGGGGAGCTATAAACATGACAGGGTTTGTACTACTGATGTGATTTAACAGAAGAGTACCTAACTACCTAAGTGGTTTCTTCAGGTGTTTCAATGTGCTTCATGGGGTATTTAATAACTCCAGCATATCCTGTTTGCTGCAGGACCAAAGGATGTGCTTTGTTATGATATTTGTACAGCCCTTTGTATCCTGAGTATTTAAAAATCAATTTTAATGCTTTTGAAATAACTAATGGTTCATTATCCTCTTTTAATTCCACCCTCCCTTATCCTCTCCATTTCAATTTATGCCCTTCGGTGATCCCCAAACCTCAGCAAACCCTGATCTTTCTAAGCCAACGAGGAAAATGAATCCCAGAGTGGAGAGGGATCCTTGGCAAGGCATCCCCATGGGACAAACCTGTGCCACCTTGCCAGCCAGCAGGTGCTGAGCACCCCACAGCACCACAGTGTCCCTCCAGGGTGTTGCTGAGCATTATTGATGTACTGGAAGAAGCATAACCAAACCGAAGACTATCACCTGCCAGCCAAGGCATGGATGTAGGAGAGGGCTCTGCTGCAAAGGGGCTCAGCCTAGATCTTGGACTTGAACAGGATCTGTGTTTACTTTAGTGTAAACAAGGATCTGGGAGATTAAAAAGAAGATGCTCTGCATCTAATAGCTTGTTTGGTCACATCTTTGAGAGAACAGGATTTGAGTAAGGCATGATGTGGCTCTGGTCATGGTTCCTTTCTCTGACCAGAGAACTATTGCACAGACCCATGAGCAGAGCTGGCCCCTGGGGGCTTGTTCCTTGGGGCTTCCATTGCCAGGAGACTTGAGCTTTCTCCAACACTGACCCCTTGTCGAGTCTTTCTGTCCCTTCGTTTGGGTGTCTTCAAATGAAAAGGCGAACCTAAGCTCCTGACATTGGTCTGTTTTCTTGCTTTTGTGTATGTCAATCTAGATTAATCTGTTTACAAGTCCAAAATGACTCCTTTAGTTCATAGTATAGCTGAGAGCAAAATATCTCCACATTTATTACAGGGGAGGTGCAATTAATCTAAAAATGGCAGAACAGCTAAAGTACTAGGGTCCCAATATTTTTTTTTTGTTTGTTAGTTTCATTATTAGGATCACTGAAGAACAGCTTTCAGCAGAACTTTCAAATATGGGTCCAGTGTGATTATGTATGTGTACTTGTATAATTACCATCATGGTTTAGAACTGGATTGTGTCCAGTATAATCTGAATAACCAGATACTGATGTCTGTTTAGAGATCTATTTTAATTTTCATTTGGTGACCTTACACAGGCACTCAAGGAGGGTATAACGAAGCAACTAACATATTTTAACTCCAGGTCTAGCAAAGTTTTTGGGGTAAGTTTAATTTTAGTGTTTTCATTTTACTAGTGTTGAAGGAATATTGAAAGCTAAAACGTTTTTAGGGAGAAATAGCAGCCAGACAAGTTTTACAGCATCCTGCAGTGAGGATTATGGTTGTTATGGTTACTAGATTACCTGTGTTGCTACCCCATCTGAATTCATCCAGAGCCTCACCCCCACTGGAGGATGTAGAGTTCCATCTGACAAGATGCACTTCGGCAAAGCGGTCCACCCATTTGTCATCATTGAGAAATAAAAAAAGGTCCATGATGATTTCTTTTGTCACAATTGCTTCAGGCTTCCTAGCTGTGTCTATGGGCTCCAACTGTGTTACTGCTATGACAGTTGATTGAAATGACTCAGAAATTATACTTCTCAGAACAGAGTACTGTTTCTTAATAAATCCAAGAGCAGAATGTGAAGGGTAAAGGTATAAACAGCAAATTCCACATAAATATTCCCTTAGGAAAATATTTTCTCATTATTTTATGAAGTTTAGTGCATTTCTGACCTGCACTCTTATTAGCACAGTTAAATTGGAACGTTATAAAAAACCATATTTGAGCAAGAAAGATCCCCAGAGAAACATGCTTTTAGCAAAAGGATCCTTTTTATCTTCAGCTGGGAGTACAAAAAGCTGGTTGCACAAGAATGGCCTGTGGAAAAGCTGCATAGAGAATAGGAGACCTTGAACTGTAATGTAGGTCTCAAAATGCTTGAAAATGGTAAGGAATTTAGGCAGAGAAATGCATACAGGACTTCTATTGCCACCTCTTTTCTCTTACTTACCTAATTTATGAAAATCCCCTTCCTCACTGTAGGACTGATCTGTCAGGAGGATCAATGTCCTTTGATCTCTTGAAAGCAAGTCTTATTAATACTGCCGGGATGTGAGAGCCTGGATTGGATTCCTCTACCTACATATTTATGTTCTCATCTTATCTGGGGTATTTTATCTTTGGAGCATTGTTTCTCATCTCCAGTGATTGCTTTGCCTGTGGTGATTTAACCCTGCCCCTGACATGGAGCATTTCAGTGGTTTCACAATGCACAAGCGTTGAACGCTCCAGACGTTGACTCCACCACCTTGAATCCCTGCACCCACAGCCTAACCTCGCTGGGTCTGTGAGCCTCTCTAGTACCTTCCTGTAGGTGTTAAATGAAGTCTTTGCTCTTCAGTATAAAAATATGAACAACATAGCACTTGCTCTAGCTGTGCTCTGATTTGTTTTGGATCAGCCTTCCCTTTGCATTTCTGCGCGTACCCACACCTCTGTGCTAAGAGTTGCTGGTGGGGAACACAGGCTGATGACATTAGCTGAGGTGCAACAATTAGCCTGAGAAATTACGTTTGTGTCGAAACAGCCTGTTGCAAATCACCTGATTCAATCAGACCTTGTCATTTTGTCCTCTGTTCTGGCTTTCAGAGGATTCTGAGTCTCTTCCAGGCTGACACAAACATTTATTATAAAGCTGACTGCAGAACAGGTATTGTGAGAGGCCCAGTTAAAAGGCTCCCTGCTCATGTGCATGCTGGAGTTATTCACTCACAAAGAGAAGGCTGGGATGCTGGGACGTTATGCACGTTGATAATACCCATAGTGGGAGGGAATCTGAAAAACAAGTGTTCAGCTAAACCAACAAGCAAAGTGAACTCAGCAACCAGGAGTCCATGTTCAGAAACACAATTGAACTGTGAGGGGTGATGAGGAGCCAGTGCTTCAGCTCTTATTTTAAGAAACATCATCTGCAGAAGCATAGGTGCTCTCTGGCCATGAAACCATTAGAAAAGAGTATCTAGTGCCTGGAGAGGTGCAGTCCCTTCTGACAATAGGCTCTTTGCTGCTGCAGAAATCATATGGAAGCACTGACTGGTAATTTGTTTTTGTAATTTCCTTTGGGCAGTGTGATTGGGAACCTAGAGAATGAACAAATTTGAGAGAGAGGGCATTGAAGATGGCAAAGACTTTGATTTTTCAGCTTATTATTATTTTTTTCCATTACTTGCCCGTCTAATATGGTGATGGTCCATTGCCAAATGGAAGCTGAAGGAGGGAAACATGAACAAGGAGACTACAGGATGAATCTTGCAAGGAATTGTGCATCCCTGTGGACCACAGGGAAGCATGTGGGTGTTCAGCATATTGCAAATCAGGCCCTAGAGTGTCCAAAAAACCATGTAGTCTCATAAAGCCTGTTTGTGTTCCAAGAGGGTTATAAAAATGCAGAAATGATACTGCAGATATTAACCAAATGATCTGGTTATATCACTCTATTATTATAAATAATGTTCAATGTCATTGAGGCATTGTTGTTATAGGACCACTAAGTCATTGCAGCTGTTTATCTGTGGTTATTACAGTGTATAAAACACTAAAGATAGATGTGTTTCAATGATTTTTAATGTTTCTGCAATGTACAGGATTCAAATTGTGTAAAAGTTCATGTCTAGGACATCTTTTTATGTATTGGATTAACTTTAGGAATCTACTTAAGCCTTAGTGATTTATCTTGTTGATTTAATTTCTGATCTCCTGACAGCCTGCATTATATAATAGATCAGAATGATACCCTTAAATCTTCTGTGTAAAACAGAGCTCCTCAGCTATATCCAGTGCTGTGGGAACTTAATTGACCTGACTTTCTGAGTTTACTTGGACAGCAAAGAAGCTCCAGATCCTGCATCAGATAGGTGAAAACTTGTAAGAGTGATTTAAAAGTAGAAATAGGTGAATTACCCTGCTAGCTCAGTTAAATAAATAGTGCTATTGAGTATTGGCTGATATTTAAAATAGCTCCATCCGCCAAACTGTAATGCTACCAGCTGTACTCTGTGAATAGAACAATTAATTACAAAATAAAAGGTGCTAAAAGCTGGTGTCATCAAGGATAGGACTTGATGTGACTCAAGCTTGAATGAGGGACCCGGAGGTATGCCAGAAGTTTGACCACAGCACAGAATCCCTAAGGATGGAAAATGCAATAATGGAGCACTTTCTATGAAAGAATGTTAAGTAAAGGACTTTGGAATCCATTACACAATAATTGTAAAGTCAAACTCTTGAAGCTGGTATGTAGAAAAGCTTGTTGTTGACTAAGTCTATCCCCCCCTGAATCTGGAATGATATTTTGGAAACAGTTACTTTCTATACCAAGGTACTTCTGTCACCCTTGATGGTTTCTAATGCTCTTTTGTAATGCCTATGCTTGTGCTGGTGTTGTTAATGACCATCTGTACTTCCATTCCAAAAGCTGTGAAAGCCCAGCTATGAAATATATGAAACTGCTGCAGGTGTCAACTTAGAAATGCATTCCCAACACGCAGAAGGAGACTTCTGTCTGTACGAGTTATGTATGCCTACATAAACCAAAGGGCAAACTTTCTTTCCTGTTTCATTTGAATTGCAGGTCGCTGGGCTTTGGGAGTTACTCCCTTGAGTGAGTATCAATAGAGCTGACTGAACTTCCACACAGCTGGCGCTGCACCAAGCACATAATTTATAGGACTAAAAAAAAAAAAAAAAAAAAAAAAAAAAAGGCTAATCCCTTCCATTCTCAGCTGCAGGAGTACATGACTGGCTCAAATATGTAGATTACAATTGATTTTGGAAGGAGTTATTTATGTCTTGGTGTTCTGAGGCTACATAGGCTTGTAGTGAGCTGTCAGATGATGCGAGAGGGTAGGCTTAGTTCAGGCAAACCTGAAGCTGATAAAGTCTAAGCTCAAGGAGGATTATTTTACAGATTTATGGCATTCCCTTGGCAGCCTTGATCGTTCAGATTGACTGAGCTGCCTGATCCACAAACAGTTTTTAACATCTCTGGCAGCAGACACAGAGGTTAACAGTCTCAGCAGGTTGTATCTGTTTCAAGGTGTGCTGGTGAGACAAATAAAAAAAACAGGTGTTTCTTGTATATGACAAGATGTTTTGAAAGCTTTTGGTTTACTTCTTGTTAAAATGCCTCAAATCAATCCAAGAGGTACAATCAATTGCAACTCTTGCTCTCAAAGTCATGCTCATGCTCATAGGCAGCTCTGTTATATCCCTGTCTTTGGTATCTATCGTAATAGAGCCACAAGTAAGATTAGTACTGAGGAAAGTTCTCATCAGCCGTGGCCATTCTTTTCTAGTTTTAAAGTCTTCAGCATTTTAACAGCACCTCTTTGGTCTCTCAGCCTCTTTACATGTGTAACTGCTCTCATTTTTTCAAGTGGGATCTTCTGGCCCAGCTTTCCTTCAACCTCCAAACAAAGATTAAACCTGCTCTGTGGAGAGACCCTTGTAACTTTGGCACCCGGTCACAGAGCTTGAACCCTGGATGTTCACCATGGGTCTGTGACAGTAGGAGCAACAGACCCCTGAGCTTTTTGCAAAATGCACCAAATCCAGCCATTCCTGGATTAGTCAAAACAATAATATGATTTTTTTTTTTCTTTCTCAAGTTCTCTTCCTGTTCTGAAGGATTTTTGACCACAAGTCACAGTGCTTCAAGAAGTCAAAGATCACTTGTCATCTACATGATTTCTCCTCAGACTTCAGGAGTCCTTTCTGCCATCAGCTTCTTTTTATCTTTGCTGTTGATACAGCAAAGAGAGCTTCTTCCTTCTCTGCATTTCTGTTTTTCTCTGTGAATCCCTCCCAAGTGCCAGTGGTTCTGCAAATTTTAACAACTATTTTCACTCTACTGGGTGTGAGAGGTTACTCCTGTAGAAGCAAAGTTGGAGAAAACTGAATTTTACATGAGCTGCATGTAGTTGTTCTGCCAGGCAGGATTCACTGAGCTGTTAGCATTCCTTCATCCTGATGGACATGGTAGACAGATTCACGAGTTGTGGGTAGGCTCCTGAGTCAAACAGCAGCATTTACTAATTCTAATATAAAGATCCTGCAGCTTGGAGTAGATTGCTCAGATATCTGGATATCTGTTAATGTAATCCAAGTTATGTGTATCTAAGAGAGAAGGCCCTAAGGTTCTTGCCTCACTTGTAAGATGAAAAACTGGTGGAAGGGGGAATATAGCAGAAGAGGCAGCTCCTGGTGTGTGTTCTGCTGTAGCTCACGGCAGTCTAATCCCAGAGACACAAGTCACCTTCAGTTACTAAGACTGTTGGTTCTGGTTTCTTCATCTCAAAAGTAACTTCAGTGCTTTTCAAGTTCAAATTTTTAAATTATTAGTGATAATATAGGTGAGCTAATTTTGCTGGGATTTCTTTACTCTTACATCTTTTCCTGGTTCCCCAGGTCTGGTTACAGCACAGTGATCACCTTCCTTTGATTGTGGGTTGTTCCAGGTCTGGCTGCTGCTTTTCCTGCAGGAGACTGGAAGTATAAAGAAGTCAAGGTTCAATTCCCATAAAGCAGTGAAGCAACACTTTAAAACTATTTCAGTTCTCTCCTGAAATCATTGTTCAAAAGAAGCCTACCATCTGCAGGACATTTTGATGAGACGTTATTTTACTTCAGGTTTCAGGGGACAGTGGGAAAAGACAAGACATTTCCAGTTCTACAGTTCCACTTGGCTTTGAAATGCAGCCAAGGACAACAAAGCTAACACAAAATCCTCTGGCTGTTCAGAGGTTGAGAGACCATTTTTATCTGTCTTTTCCCTCTTTGTGGTAATAACTTACTTTTTTTTTAGGTGTCTAGATACTTGTGAGTTTACAAAAGAACCCATGACAAATGAAAGCAAGGGAAATAAAGTACTTTGTCTGATGTTGGGAATTCCATGTAATATAGGAATAGGCTCACATGTGTCTGCATGTCCTTTGTCTCTAAATTTCAGAATTTGTTAAATATTTGACCCTATATCCTCTAAGACTTGCAGTTTGCCATCTGTCACTCATGCCAGATCATTGTTTATTTTTAATATGATTATTGGTTGTTACAAAACTGAGCCATGGTAGGTACAGATTTAAAAAGTGCAGGTTAGAATGGAAATCAATACTATGCGGAGGGGTAGAAATTTGCAGGAGTCCCTTATTTTCAACTCTGAATTTTGGTAGAAAAAGGTAAGACTGGTTTTCTTTAATAAAAGTACTTTGAACTTTTCCACTTCTTTCATGTATCTTTCCTGTTTAATCTTTCCTTTTTTGTAATGGGAATTGTAATTGTGATTCCTCTTTATGATATTTTTTTTTTTAACCTAAAAGATTAGTTTTCCTGTTTCTCTACGACCGATAATATGAAAATATAGTGCTCCTTCTGTGAATTAGCAAGTTCCATTGGGTAAAACTTGGCAAGCGCTGACAGTCTGGACAACATGTTTCTGGCAAGTGAACAGTTATCAGAACTAGAAGAAAGTGAACAGCATGTGTGTTTCTGGAGCTGCTGAATATGAAACAGCTGAGAATCATTTGGGTCAGCAGTAATTGAATAATCACACCTGGTTTAGCCACCTAGAAGGGAGATACCTGATCTTAGCTGGTGGCCCAACATCCCATCATGGAAAGCGAGATGGAGAGAGAAAACACCACCATAAAGGGTGTCTGCACTTACTGCAGCTGGAAATGAATCACCAGCTCTCTTCCACTGATTATAGGACACCTTGATAACGAGGTTAGATAGCTCCAGCTAAAGAGGATGAATCCCATTCTCTCTCTGTTAAGACATATTTCACTCAGCCATGCTAGAATTTATGTGAACTCCTATAAATAAAAGGTGATAATACACTGCTCCCCCTTGGTGTCCAATGATGTGGAATTTGAAGCCAGAAGGGACCATTTGATCTTACTGTATGCCATCAGATGTTAAATTTCTGGAGCATTTGCTATTCTGGACCCAATTTCCTGGTCTCAACTAAAGTACGATTTGTGTTTTGTGCTGAGGTGTGTGTTTCAGGAGGGCACATCAAGGCTTTCCAAGTTGATTGGAAGGAATGGAGACTAGTGAGCATTTTGAAGGGAATAGAAGCACTCAGCATTTTGCATGAATTAACTTTTTTTTTTTCTTCTATTTTTTTTTTTTTTCTTTCATTTGAGTTTGTCCAGCATCAGTTTACCGCTGTAGGCCCTTTCACTGCTTGAAAAAGGAACCTTCAGCATACATTTCACACCCATGAAAGAATTTGCTGCTCTTTGTTTCTTTGTTTTAAATTTCAATTAGTTCTGTTTGCAACATGGATCTCATCGCTTTGTGTTACTGGACCTTACCCGATCAATCCGATATTCATTTCTGTTACTTTACACTTCCATGTACTCATGAAAGTGCTGACTCTAAATGCTTCTATTTAATGATTTACCTGTAGATAACAGTTTTTAAGGTCTCGATATGGCAGATCCTTTAGCCGTTATGTCAGTTAGGTCTTGATTCAGTTGTGTAAATAACAGGGATCTAATACCTTTTTGTGTAAATTTCTTGGCCACCACCTGTGGCTCCAAGAGGGTGTTGGCCTTCCTTAGGTCCTGCATCCTACCTGCTAGTCCCCTGTGAATGTCTTAAATACTCTAAAGTGTCTCAAACATGCTAGTTGGCTATGTTTAGAGAGCTGGACTGATCCCTTAGTATCATATAGCAGTAGCTTTTTAATTGCTATATCATAGAACCCTTAGGTACAAACACAGTGATCACATTTGCCTGTTCTGAGATGTTGCCATCTGCCATCCGGTGAGGCAGGAAATTATTATGTGCAAAGAAAAGGAGATTAGCTTAAATCACCTCATTCTGGCCTTCTGTTAGGAAGTTATCTGCACTCTTTAGAAGCAAATGACTTTCTTATAGTACCATAGACTTCCGACGTAAAAGTACAAAATTCTCTTTTACCTGACAGGCAATTTCACTTTGCGCGTATTTGGGAAATGTGCTGAAGGAATAACACTTCCTGCTCTCCCTGGGCAGTAACAACACCCCACCAGGGCTGGCCTGGCTCTCCCACATGGCCTAGTAAAACACAAGTTTAAAAAAAAAGCACAGATGGAGGCAGGAAGGACTTTTGGCCACAGTTACAGCCTGTGGGAGAAGGGCATGCTCCGCATCGGCTTCCTTCCTTATGGCCAGCTGGGGCCATCTGCTCTGAATCCCCACACTGGTTTAGTCAGAGTTTAGGAGCATAGGAGAGAAAAGGAACCAGATCTTGGCCATTTGGGTTTGCTTTCTCAGAGAAGAAAAGGCAATGTCCATTGCTTGCTTGCAGCACCCCCAGATGTAATGTTGGGGAGTCAGACCTGAGGAGGCTCAGGGTCTTCTCCTGACATATGCCCTGATGTACTCATGCAGACCGAGACGTTGACTTATGGTTAAAAACCCATTCCTTTTTGGAGAATTACAATGCAGAACTTGTTTATTGATTTTGCTATGGCCCCATTTGATTTGGAAAACGTGTTTATTGTTAGTGAGATTTATACGGCTAATACACCATTTATCGATGCTTTATATTTTCTGATGCAAAGGCAAATATCAGACTTTGAATATTTTTATTTTTGGCTGGTGTGATGCTTCTGGCCAGTGACAATGAAGATGGCATAAAATTCAGTTGGTGTGGCTTGTCATTTCTTGGGAGTGAGTGCAAGTGTGCAGCGCATCTGCAGCAGAAAAGGGAATGTCCAGTCAAAAGAATTTTCAGCGCCAAACATATTTCAGACTAGACTTTAATGACAATTGAAAAAAACCTACTGTATGGGTAATATTGGATTAATCATTTCTGTCTAAATTTAGGAGCATATAAATTGAAATTAATATAAACCCTGAATTAACTCCTTTGCCTTTAGGTCCTGACACCATCACAGCTTTTCAGAATTTCCTGTTTGAGGAAGGCATTTACTAAGAGATCATAGTCATGTCTGGCTCATTAATACAGCTTTACAGAAAGTTCTGTTTACTCACAGAAGTATCTGTGGAAGAAATACATTTGTCAAGCGCTATGTAAATCTTGGTTAGGTAATTTGTAAGATAATCATGATATTCATTAAAGGGGGCCTATAAGAAAGATGGGGACAGGCTTTTTAGTGGGGCCTACAGCAATAGGACAAAGGGCAATGGTTTTAAGCTATAAAGGAGGGTAGATTCAGACTAGATATAAGGAAGATATTTTTGTCAATGAGAGTGGTGAAACACTGGAGCAGGTTGCCCAGGGAGCTGGTAGGTGCCCCATCCCTGGAGACATTCAACGTCAGGTTGAACAGAACTCTGGGCAAAGGGATCTAGCTGAAGATGTCCCTGCTCATGGCAAAGGGGTTGGACTAAGTGACCTCTAAAGGTCCCTCCAATCCAAACTATTCTCTGATTCCATGATTATGCTGCATTAGAAACATAGGTGGAAGAATTATTTTTCTATTGGACTTCAGTCTCATGGAGTTTACAGATGCATGAGAGGGCTAAGCATAGTAAACAAATGCTGTACGAATAATTTGTCTGAGAAAGGATGGTTATCTTGTGGATACCCATGAATGATATCCTGTGGATACCGTGCATGACGGAAAAATCCTGTTGATTAATGTTCACTGTTCCTGTTGATTAATGATCAGTTTTTCAAATGCTTCAGTGCATGGTCTATTCATTGATACATAATCACAGAAGTATGACTGTATGGAGCTCTGCCTCTGTGTTCAGGTACTGTAGCCTTAGCAGTTATGTATCTGTACAGTCTTCATCTGTTTTTAGAAGCATTTTCTACTTGAACCTATTGGTAGAAAAATAATTTTCCTTCCTAAGGAGAAATGAATATTCTTTGTAATCTCTGGAATTCTAAAATTATTTCTGTGCTTCTAATACTCACTAGTCAGATTTTAAAGTCTAATGGATGTGTTTTTCTTGTCCTCCAACCTTTTTAATATGTATAAAATTAGGACTTGGACACTGATACTTTAACAAATGCTGTATTCCAAAGATCTCTCATTTCTATTCTTCGGTGAATAAGACTAGAATCTCGCTCCTAATTTTTTTTGCAGTAATGTCCCAGTATTGAGGATCTGATTTAAGACCACTTGAAGCTAGTAGAGAGATTGTGATCCATTTCAATGAGCTTTGAAGCAGAACCATAAAGACTAGCTGAAACAACTGCTAGCATTTCAGGAAAACCACAGGTTATACAGCCGAATGTGGCAACATGTAATTAATTACTGAAATTCAATATCGTGTTGCACAATATTTGGCTCTTCATATAAGAAAGCAGGGGGGGTTGATATTTCTATGCTTCCTTGCAAGACACATTTTAAAAGTCATTGACATGAACTAGAAGAATGTCTTTCATTATGTTCAGAACTGACTGTGTTTGGTTTTCTGTCCCCAGCAGAGGATAATGAAAACAGCTGGAGTTAAATTATTGTAACTCAAAAATATTCACTGGCCCATTCCTCTCTCAATATGCTCTGTGTTGTGGAAATGAGTTGCATGAATCTGTGAAAAACCAGAGCAGTTGTGTAGCAATGCTCCTGAAGTTTGAAATGGAAAATCCCTAACCTCCTCTGGTCACAGAATTCATCTCCAAACCTGTAGATGGTAGTCTGTCGGAAACGGCATTGAGACTCATCGAGTCACAAACATTTCCATGAAAAATGCCCCCTTTACTGTTAGACCGAAAGTTTAAGCAGTCACTAGATCGGCAGGAGAGCTGTTTGATAACTGATCTGACAAATATGCAAAAGTCACAATGACTTCAAGTGCTTGACAAATTGTTGTCTAGTGGATTTAGCAGTAGGAATGGTTGAAGGACAACACATGAGAGCAACAGCAAATCCAATTGATGGTTTGTAGTTGCTCCAAAATACAAAGTTATAAAATACTTTGGAGATTGGCCTCCTGATCTGCTAAATCTCACTTTAGTGACTCAGGCAGCAATGTTTGAGGCTTATATAGTATATAACAATCAATCTTCTCCTGAAAGTTTTTCTTGCTTCCCTTTTAAAATCATACACTTGTGTTCTTGCAATTGTCTGAATTTCAAATAAAAAATTACTCTTTGCTGTCATGATGCTTGTCTGTTGAAGCAGGATAAGAAAACATTTGTAATCTCTCTTTTAATGGGACTAAAACCGAGGAAAAGCAGGAAAATTATTGTGATTTTATATTTCCCTAGACATCTGCTTTTATCTTCTAATTTTGTTCTTTAGGACAGACTCAGAATAATGCTTTTTATCTAATCTGTAGTCAAGTATTCAATGAATCATAGTTGCCCCTTAATATAATGATCAGTCATTTAATCATATAAAATGAATAGTAGTCCTTCCTCCTCAGAGGGAAATATTAATAAGTATGAGAGAAGCAAGCAGGATATAGCCTGAAACCTTATTGCTATAGCAGCATACTGCCCGTCCTGTGGACTGGCATGCCCCAGTCCTGTCTCCTGAGATGAAGCTCTAACACTTATATTTTCACCCTTGGGCTTGTTTGCTCTGTGGCAAACTGCAGTGATCTCAGGAGATAGGATTCAGCTTGAGCTACTACCCAAAACAAGAAAAAAAGTTTTTTGTCTCCAAACAACAGTTGACCTCTGCCTGGGATCAGAGACTGACTGTGCCCAGTATGGGGAAAGACACTGACAGCATCCTGACCTCCTCTGCAGTAAGTCGTTTGTATTTCTGCATCAGGTTACCTCTGCATCCAGTCAGCTTCTTAACATGCTAGAGGAAGTTAAGTGCTGTATGAACTCAATATGAATTGCTTAGGGAAAGTGCAAACACTGAAGTAACCTTGCAGATGGGATCAAGTCTTGCACTACTTCATTTTGTACAGAAAAAAAAAATGCAATACAATAAAACAAAGTGGATGAAAGGAATGGATGGGGACAGTAGATGTAAGAGAAGGGAGGAAGCTTTTTTTTAGATAAAAATCACCATACCTTTTAACTTTCAAAAGTTATTTCTTTCCTAAGCTGGAAAGAAACACTTGCCTTTTTTACATACAAAAATCCTATGGTTTAAAGATTTTGAAATACAGTTTTTGATCCATACTTCTCATCAGAGAGGTACAAAAGAAAGCACATATTCCTGCTAAGGCCGTGGATATTAATGCTTTGGTGGGCTGTGCTCATCCCACAGGGCTTTCCTCAAGCCCTGTCAATCTGTGCTTCATACTGTTTCCACAGGGACACCTCTCTCTGATGTCACTGCTGTACCTTTTTCTTTCCATGGCAGGTTTTCTTCCCTGCCATGAAATATCCTTTAGTCCTAGACTGTACATTAGGTATTGAGTTTCCAAAGTAAAGTTTTCATGTCTCCTTTCTATATCACCAGTTAATATTACACAAAATACTTAACTCCACACACAGCATTCAAACAACCTCTAAAATGAGATGTATTTTCATTTGGTGAGGAAGTAAAGCCGTGAAAATTTCTTAGATCACATGACAAATTGTTGAGGAGATGGTGAGGGGTGGAGTTTGTGAAAGAGAAGGGATGGCTAAGGAATGAAAAGATTTACTGATCCATGATAATGAATGCGTGCTTCCCACCTCCACAGGTACAGCAAACCATAGCACGCTGGAATAACAGATGGCAAAGTGAAAATGGATCAGATTAAAATAAAACAGATACAGGGAAACATAATTAATTTAGATCTGAATTGTTGCCTGAAATGTGTCCTTCACGTGATTTTTGGTTCCTCTGGCTGAACCCAGAGTCCACGTAAACTGCTCATTTCACACGCACGTCCAGGTGCTTTCTATAGCGTGGGGTCACTGGAGCCAAGGCCAACATGTCCAAGGGGCATCTCCTTTAGGGATTCCCTCAGTCAAAATACTGTGGCTTGACACTGAGCAGAAGCACTCCAGAAGGCAGTGGGATCCATATAAAGCAAGGAGTGAGTTATCTGGAGGCTGTCTATTCACTGGGTGCCTTTTTTCACTCTACTCAGATGTTGGAGGTGACTTGAGCAGTTCTACACTCCATGTCCATGCAGCTGACTATTCCTGCCCAAACGTACTGCTTCATGCTCATCTTTTTCCAGTCACACACTATTTTTTGCAGATCATTTGTCCAGTTTGACAAGATCCTTTTGTATTCCAACCTTGTCCTCAGGCTTGCCTGAAGCCAGTTCCAGTTGGCTCTTGAATGTATTTTTCTAGACATCCTTTCTTAATCTGTCATCTATCATTCAGGTCCATGCTAAATGACTGAATGGGGAAAGATCCTCCTACTCCAAATCCTACTATGTAGGAAAAGCATGTTTGACAGTGAATATTGCTGGTTGTGCCTGAGAGGGATTTTGCACCTGCCTCATAACATTTTCATCTAGAGAGACTGTGTTTCTTAGTTCGTTCAAATGAGAGCCTAAAGTCCTCCGGTGTATGTGATATTTATTGCTCCTCCCTATCTTTAAAGCTTGTTATGCAGTCTGGAAAGGACATTGCATTGGTTTGTTGTGACTGATTCTCAGTAAATCCTTTACTTACCTCCTGGTTTCACTCTAAGTATAAATAGTTTGAAGTTACACTGATAAGTATAATTCTTCTCCTTTTTGAGTCCCCAAGCATGGCTTCAACCATTCTCCAATGTGACAAAAAAGTTTCTTGTTAATGTGTGTCTGACAAAGCACAGTAAACAAGACATCTAATTAAAATACTGTTCGAACTTGGATCTCCCGTTCTCACCCTCTTATCAGCAATGAATGCTTTAAAGGATTTTTTTACCCGTACTTTGCAGTATAATTAATGTTTTCCTGACCTGATTTTCCTGGGTGCCAGTACCACCTCTTACCTGTGGTCCAGCAGACAATTATTGTCTGTCCTGAGAATGCAGAACTCTGGAGAGGTTCATTGTGTACTGAATAAATCACAAAAGTCGTCTTCATGTTTGTCCTTAATGCAGTGCAATATTTATTCTGTCTGACCTTTTCTCTATTATCTTATGCCTTCTTCAACTTGTTTACCAACTTTCCAACGTCCTTGTTAAATGTGAAGAATTGTGCAGCTCCTAAGAAAAGGCTATGAACGGTGGCTAACACCTGAAATGACAGATCTGTTTCAAACAGGAACTGGAACTGTTTTTTACAGTCTCTGAGAATAGTGTGGGTTGGCAGTACATCCTATTCTCACTTTAGTCTATCATGTCAAATTCCCAGGTAGTGAAATCTCATCACAAGGTGGTGGCTTGGAAAACGTCATACAAGGTTTTCTTTCATCAAAGAGCAGGTGTTTTCTACTCTTGTTTGCTTTATATTCTTTCCCTTGAGAGATATAAAAGAATATACCGTTAGATTATACATGAAACGTGCATCTGTGCACCAGCTTGAAAGGAATCATAGAAGAAAACAGTAAAAATAAGGGTTAAGAAAAGAACAGGAGAAATCAGAAGGAAGCAAGTAAAAAAAAAACAGGGGAAGTAAGTGCAATAATCTTCATTTCTACCCACGTTCCTGGTAACCAACTTACTGGGCACTGACTGGGAATGGGTGAAAATAACCTCAGGAGAAATACCACTCAAAAGAAGACAGAGGGTTTTGGAAGGGCAGGTTTGTCAAGGCCCTACTATAATGTTAAGGCTTCAGAACTCATTACAGCTCCTGCAAAGACAAACACCGCTACGCACGTGACTGGTAATGAATAGCCAAAATGCACAAAGAACATGAGGGTTTAATACTGGATGGGGAAATATAAAGAGGAAAGCAGTGTAGAGGAGAGAATAAAAGACTTGGTTATATGCTGGCTGTATGAGTCAGGAGCTGCCCCAGACATACTGAACTGGAAGCTGAAGAGCCTGAACAGGATACACAAAGAATTAGAGCTATTAAAAAATTAAATCAAGCATGAGGAATGTAAGGCCTGTGAGCTCAATATATTCTGTGGTGCTGCTTCAAGTCATTTGCAATCATGCTATTATTAGCAATATGCAATAATACCACAAATATGTATATTAATAAATATTTTCTTAAATGCATTTGAGAAAACTAGATTTCAAGGGAAAACTTCCCCAATGTGAATTAATACACCAGAAAAAAGGACAGAGCCCAGCAAAAGTACCACTTGACAGGAATGACATGGTGAACAGTTTAAAAACCAGTAATAAATATATGACAGTATATAAATAAATATACAGTAATAAATATATGACAGTAATAAATATATGGAAAATAAACTTATTAAAGGTTAGGTGGAAAACTATTCTAAGAAGGTGTTCTTTGCATCCAGCCTCATAGCATTTCCATTTTGGGTACAAGGTTTTTAAGTTCTTCTGGCAAAAGCGTAAAAGTACAAATGATTCATGTATCAAGATTCATTAAAGACAAATTCAGATAGCATTTTATACAGAAAAAGTTATATTAGTTATATGCAATTATGGGGTAAATTAAGTTAAAATGGGCCTAATCTGAAATCAGCATCCAAACAAAAGGATTGGAATCTAGAGTTAAGTTTTGTGGCTTTGCTTGGAAATAAGACCTCATCCGACAAAAATGTGAAAAACTCACAGTGCTTGCCCAAATTAAACGATAAAATAGTCAATTCATAGTAGTTAATGAGAATCATTACTTTTTATTGCTTGACTTTTCTCTACCTCTTTTTGTCTCTTGAATCGTTTAAAGGAAACCTCTTTGAAAATGGCACATGGAAATCAATTGATTAAATCTGATTGTCCTTTTGTTCCATGGGTTGCCAGTGGAAACAAGCACATTTAAGAAGAGCTTCTGCTTACTCTCTGCAGTGTATCTGACAAAGGCCAGGAGGGCTGATATACATTCAAAAGCAAAATGCGTCCAGCTGTTAGCATTTTGCTGATGAACAGTTTTTCCGTTACACTTTCTGTCATAATCTTGGAAAACACCAGGATATTCTAGCCAGCTTTTAAATTGCCTGGGGGGGTTATTTTGTAATTGTCACACAGATTAGGAACCCAGGTGATGGGATGGACCCAGGTGCCTCTTTTTCAAATGATTCATGGAACTGAAATGCAATTGAAACAGTGAAGGTTTTTCACAATTTTTTCTTTGAAATCTTGTTGTGGTCGCCAAATATTGACAAAATAACAGTCTTCCCAAACTCAGTATATTCTTTGTCTACTTCGTCATAAAACCATTAGAATCATCCTTTAGACCATAAGACTATTTGCCATTGTCAATGGGAATTTGCATGAGCAGCCTTGATCTGGGTTCAGTTTCTACGTAACCCTGTGGTCAGCTATCAGAATAGAAAATTAATGGGTTTGAGGAAAGGAAGAGGAACAGGAGGACAACCACTAAGCCAGTCTGCCCTTATCTACCATGGTGTTCACCTAATGCCACTGTGCCTTCCCTTTTTTGACTCATGTAAGGCCAGGACACACAGAAGTATACCCATTGTTTCAGGTCCCATTGCTGAGTCTTTCCCACTGCTGGAGGACAGGACCGTGTTATCACTGAGGTATCACCGGGATTTATTTAATTGCAAGTTGAAGAGGCTTCTGTTGCAGCAGCTGGATTTGGTCCAGGCCCTCAGGAGGAGGTACATGGACAGAAAAGATAGATGCTATTAATGGTTAGCTGAATCTATTTATTAAAGGGATTATATAACACATGGTGGCTCTGTCAGCTGGAGACAGTGCTTTAAGATTTCCCTTCAAGTTCAGTTTCATAAATTTAAATTACCAGGGAGT